AAACAAAAGTAATAAAAAAAAATTATCTCTGCACCTTGCTATAAATATCTCACAAGATTTATCAGGAAATTGTTTTTGGGAAAGAAATATCATAGTCCCACAAATCTCATGAATTAAATATTAAACCAATTTCTCATATATTTATTTGTACAGACTGTTCACAAAATAAGTATAATAAGCAAATTGTTGTCATTGTGATGCAGCCTGCATCATGAAGGACCAAAAATTTGGCTCTCCTTGAAAAGGGTTTGCCCACCCCTGCTTTATATGAAGAAATGTATTACAAAAAGCTACTTCAAAAAATTTCTTCTAATACCAGATAAAAACTTGAATTAATTGGCTGTAATTCTAACAATTTGGTTTTGGTGTCATAGTTTAAGCAAAAGTCATGTCCACATTGAGACCCCAATAAAACTTTTGCACCAACAGAAAGACCTACCCCTCTCCACAAATATTTTACCAAATAAGAGGATGGTTTTTAGTTTGAGGATTTGAATTGTTGCACAATTTTTGAAATGAGTAATAAATGCGTAACAAGCCAGACACCTAAAATTATGCAGGAATCTTTAGCAATTCTGACATGAATTTTCCTATATGACAGTGAATACTGAACAATTTCCTCACAGATGAAGACAAGACTGAAGGTAACACATGTTCTACAGAAGGATGCTAAGAATATCATGGATGGAGTGCATAAGGAAAATGGAAACAAAAAAATGACACATTCAGAATCAGAAAGAGGCTGCTGAACTTTCCTGGATATATGAGGAAGGAAGACTTGGAGAATTTAACACTTACAAGAAGACAAAAAAGAGAAAACAGACCACCTACCTGACGAGCTTGCAAGAATAGGTGACTGGGAGGGATGGCAAAGAGAAAAGGGTTACTAAGAGCTACAAGAGATAAGAAGTTGTGACACACCATGATCATTCATGCCCTGAAGGAACATGACACACAGAAAAACAATTTCATTAACATTTCATAAAACAATAAATGTGCATGTATTATTTATTTTATTTTATTTTTTTTAACAATAATGTTCATCCTGTACAAGGCTCAAGAGCAACTCGGAGATAGAGGATTACAAAATAAGTGGCACAATTTATAGGGATATGTGGGGAAGATAACGATTAACCCTAGACTTAAACAGATATACACACATACACGGACACACACAGAATAAGCCAAAAAGATATTAAGATTTTTTATCATTAGAAAAGCAGAATTGGTATCATTTCAAAGTCTCTAACTGTTCACCATTCGTACCTACATATTCTTAGAAACTTCAAGAGTCAATTATAAAAATGTTAACATTTCTACAAGTATCTTTAATGGAATAGGTACTACCACATCAGTGTTAACATTTTCTTTTTAATCAGTGTGGGTGCATAATGTGCAAGATGGATAAATTGTTCAGCTATGTAGTGGACTCCTCTGATGAGAGTAAAAATGCCACGTGTTTATAAAAGAAATTGTCAAAAGGATGAATGTGTGACTGGCTTTTGTAGATAATTTTTAGATTAAAATATGCATACATGTGTTTCATTTATAATTGTTCTCTTACAGAATGGGGGCGGAAAGCAGAAACTTAATTTGTTATTTCAATATTCGGGAAGAATTGAATGTTAACAATAACAACATCAATCTTTGAAGATTTTTACAAGTACAGCACAATTTCAAAATTACTTAAATATTCTTACTGATTTTTTCCTTACAACCAAAAATGCTAAATTTTCACAAGTCTGTGATACTGCCATTTAAATGAAAAACATGTGAATTATTCACTTAGGTCTCATGAAAAGTTTTAGGCCTTACTTAAGTAAACTGGCTGAAAGGTATTGATTTTTATCATTTAAAAGTGTGTGTGGGTGGGGGGGTCTTCATAATAGTAGTAGAGTATAAAAATCAATCCTTGACTATTTACAGAGTTATCTGGACCTAATTGTTTTGCATACAAAAACACACTTCATCTTTTTTATTACTACGGGATTTATTTTAAATAATTATAATTAACAGATATGGACATTTTTAATTAAAGGACAAAAATTTCTTACATTGATAAATGTATATATCTGTTTGTTCTTAAAGTACTATTATGCCCCAGTGTGCATGTACAAAGAAAAAAAAAAAAACACACATACACCAAAAAATGTTGTTTAAAAAAAAAAAAAAAAAAAAAAATTTTCAAAACTTTTTCCAAATTCAGGAAATTAGGAAATTAAAAAATGAAAAATATGCAGATTATATATATATAATATAAATAAATAAAATATAATTATAAAGAAATATAGTTTTAAGGTGTGCTATATTTATGGGATAAAGTGCTCAATATCAGAGAGAGATATATATATATATATATATATATATATATATATATATATGAATGAAAAATATGCAGATTAACAACTAAGTCCAAATAACTAAGAGAAAAAAAAACATTGAGAGTCAATTTTACACAGTATTTATTGCAAACATTTAGAAGGAAGTGGATCTTACTCTCTTCTAAATCATTAGAACAAAAATTTAAAAATTGATATTTTTTGATGGTGACAAATGATTTGGCATGAGGAAAGCTAATCCCCATAAATAATCCCCCCCACAAAAAAATTTATATATATATATATATATATATATATATATATGAACTGTCTCTATTTTTTTTTACAAGTGAGCATTCAAGTGCAAGGTTTTATGTCATTAGCTTATTTTTTAAATTTTCTTGGGTGGGGCGGCGTTAATGCAAACATCACAATCTATCCTGAAATTTTTGGTTTATAGAAAATACTGATTTGTTAAAAGCATTCTTACCAAAATTAGGAAATTTTATTGATATATTAATACAGGCAAACTAACAGTCAAGTGAATTTGGTTTAAATTTTTAAACATTACAAATTCCTTTTTTAAACGGGGTGTGCGGGAGTAGCGTTGCGATTAATTGGAATCAACGAGTTGTGTTCAAATACAAGACTATCTTGTTGCATTCTCTTTCACATAATCGCTCTAGTCTTGAGAAAGGCATGAAACCATTTCTTCTCTCCCCAGCTACAGGTTAAACAGAAAGGTAAACTGGGATCTCTAGCCTTGGGTGACAACCACTAAAAGGAGAAGTGAAATTCTCAATTCCAAATCATAAAGAAGACCACGAGAAACCATTCCACTATTTTGGCAATTTACATACATACATTCTGGGGGAGGAAGTGTGGGTTTGTAAACAGTGACTATTACAGCTAATAATGCAAGACTCTTTGGTGGATCGAATCCAGTTCTCTCAGTCACTGTGTTTATATAAAAATAAATATGCTTAAATTCACCTTCATCACTGCCGTGCGCCAACGGCTTAGTAGTAGAATCCCCGACTGACGTCAATTCAGTCAGGTTTCGATCCTAGCTAGAAGCAACCAGACTAGCTACACTGATGAGTTGTGATACATTGAAACAGTCTGTCTGTGGATGACATATATATATAAAATTATATATATATAAAATTTTATGTGCAGTACTTATTGGAAAGTGGTCAATATCAGTGACAGAGCTAACTAACATATCCATTCAGTTCAAACAAGAAATCTGTGGACTAGAGTCATGTTCGCCTACTTACTAAAAAAGGAAATGAAATTTAAAAACAAATATTCCTTTAAAATACGAATTTTCAAATTACGAAAGACAAAGAACTTTATGATAAAGTTTTTATCTCCCCCTGTTGATCCATAAGAATCGATTTGCAGGTAAATGTGATACCCATATGCAATGAATTAAAAATCGCTAACTGATGATGCGTTTTGTGTGTATGTGTGTGTGTGCTTAAAACTTAAAAAGTAAATAAAATTATTTAATAATATTTCAGGGGAATATTTTTTTTAATTAAATAAATTAAATTTTAATGTTTGTGTGCCCCATGCTTTTTTTTCTTTTCCCTTTTTTTTTTTTTTTACATGTAATTTTAAAGAAATAAGAAGACCATATTCCTGCAGCTACATGGAATTACTACCAAGGCCATCTGATACTGCCGCTTAATAGTAGTAAAGAAAACAAGATATTTTTTTCAAAAAATCAGCGCAAATATCAATAAAAAATAAATAAATAAATAAATGCGCAACGATCCTATGTGTTGGAAAGACAATAGGGGTTCAAATTAGCCCCTCGTCACAATATAAAACATTTTGTAGTCTTAAAACAATAAAAATAATATTTTAATTACAATCACTTGATTCGACTTACCTTTTGTTTGGTTGTCTCGGAAAACTTTAAAATCGCATTATTTTTTTTTTAATTATGTTAAAAAAAAAAAAACAAAGACCTTTTGAATCTTTTGTTGTTGTTCTTTTTATCCAAAGCAATATCTAAAAATCAAGAGATTTTCTATTAAAATTGTGTATCTTTATCCAATAACAAATATTATTGAAATTTATAGTTTACTTACTACTTCTGAAATTATTGCCTATCGTCTTTTGTTTTGAGAAACAAAACATTGTAAATCAAGCAAAATTTATTTTAACTGACTTTGACTCAAGTTTAAAATATTCTGGTTAAGGTAAAAATAAAAGCGAACGTAATTAATATTCCTGATTAATCATTTTTTTTTAACAAAAAAAAAAAAATAAATAAATATTTAATTATTTTTTATATAATTCATGTCAAGGTAAAAGAAACTACTTTTCTTAATTTAGAATTCTTTATTTTGGCGTCAGGTCTTTTTTTAAGAAAAATTAATATATAGCAGAGTAAGTCTAAAATATTTTAAAAAGCCTTTGTTTGATTTATAAAAATCACAGTATATTTTTTTTATTAAAAATATAAACAAAATAAAAAAAGATATTTTTTACTAGAAATGGTAAGAAGAGTATAAGTCTAAAGACGATAGTATCACGAAGGAAATAATGTTTTCAAATCTATGTCAGTTTTTTTTTTTTTTGCGGGGGGGGGGTAAACAAAATAGATTAAAAAAATATATATATATTAATTTTAATATAAAATTTTTTAAAGTTTTTTCTTTTACTTACCTAGAAAGTAAATATTTGATGTATCTTTCACTGTCCTAAATTGTTTTTCAATTGCTGCTAACAAAAAAGCGAGCAGGGTGGTCAACTGCTACTCGGAGTAGCAAGTTGACCGACTCACACCCATGTAGATATAAATAAGGGTGTCTGATTTAAAAAAAACAATAAACCAAAAGTCCTTAATAATCCACAAAAACCGTTGCTAGGTTATAAGTGTCAAATCCACAATTAACGTCGCCATGAAGGCCGCTTTCTATGTTATACTCAAGTGAGTTTTCTACCTCCGTGTTGAGGAGAGCTCCCTATTCGTCTCTGACTCATTGGGGCTAAGCTGAGAATTTATTGGAATAAATTATTTAGAAGCAGTTAACTGGTTATACTATGCAATTTTTCTTTGTTACTAAGGTGCAAAGATGCCTTCCCTTATCAATAGGCCCAGCTATAATGATCCCACTGATACATGTGCTTTCACAAAAGTAACTGGTTTAAGAAAAAAGAGAATCACTTTTTTTTTTTGCCACCTCCAAAAAGTAAATTTTCAACACTTGTACTTACATATTTTTAATTGCCCTTAAAGACAATGCATATCAGCATTTATAATTACTCATACACAATAAACTCCCAATAATTGTAGCAAAACTGAAAAACTGCAATTTTCACAATAACGTTTTCATATGTGAAGGTGAAACTTTCTGCAGATATATTTTTCATACTTAAACAGTCTTATTAGTTGAAATGTTCAGAAATATGCTTGAAATAAAGCAAGTTCATACATCTGGGTAATGATCCAGTGTGCTTTAGCCTACTTGGTCAAAGAGTGTCACTAGGGCTGACATGTACTACTTCCAACATCCTCCCCAGATCAAGGGGAGGGGGACAAACTTGTTTGAGGGACCCTATCTTATCAACATTTGTTTTTTTTCTACCTACATTTATATACATTACAAATTAAACTAAACTAAGCACAACCTACTATTAAAGGATGAAAATTTTTTGTGGATTTTGACATCATTCTGTTTTTTTTTTCATCCAAATCTGTGAATTTGTTTTGCTCATTCTAAGTCTATAAAAAAAAACACTATATAAAATTCACTATTTATTTTTATCCATCATGTTGAATGTGTTAAATTATTCAACTTTTTAATTAGAAAAATCTTCAGTTGACATTAAAAATTCCCGTAAAACATTGATTTATTTAAAATGGAATAATCTATTATGACATGTCTCTAATTTGTATTTAGATACATTGTATTTATTTTCAATTTTTCTAGTTGGATTGTTCACCTATATTGCATATGATCCATTATTGTGTATAATTAGGTTAAAATAAAATTTGTATTTAATATGAATACTACCTTATGGAAATTGAGATATTGTAGAATCAGGGGCCCCATATCAGATTTTGAGGTGGGCACAGGACCCCAAATGTAACAATTTAATAGTTTTTTAAAGTGCACAAATCCATTTGTTAGGATCTTATCAAAAGCCCATATCTTCTCAAATGTCCATATCTGATGGCTTTTTATTTTTGTATTGAGAGGATATGTATTCTTTAAAAAGTGTAATTGAAACTTGCTGGACCTTAACATTTTGTGACTGAGCTGTCCAAGGTACACTGGTAATGACAATTCTTTTGGTCATGGTAATGATAATATTAGCCTAACGGGGTTACTATATGAGAAATGAATATTCCCAGTTTGCTTTTCCCCCATTATGGGGGCCATGATATAGTAACACCTTAATACATGGACGAAACAGCATAGCTAAAAGAAAATGAATGACACAAACATGATTGGTTCTCAAAGAGACTTTTATACTACTGAGTCATACACAAAATCATGTACAAATATTTACACTTTTCCCAAACAGAGAAACTATAACAAATGTATACAACAATAAGTAGTGTGAAAATGAGGAAAAAAGTATGGTCTTACTTGTGATGCTTCCCAAATGGAATTTAAGCTGCCAGAGGATTCTTCTACGGTTTTGAAGAAGACATATTTATATTTCCCAATGGGAATTCGAGCAAGCTGGATTTATCTTCAATGTTTCTGGTGAGGACATATTTCCAAATGGGAAAACAGCAAATCATGGGTATTTCCAAACATGAAAACTGTGAGCTGAAGATAGTTTCTATATGTCCTGGTGAGGGCATATTTTTTCCAATATGTAAATTGCACTAATTGCTTCATGGCAGCTGGCCTGAGTGGGATGATTTAGCTATGGCTCAGCTGGGTAGATTTAGTCTTTGTCCATGCTAAAAAATCAAATGCTCAGTTTAACTACAGGAGGCTAACTAAGCAACTGACCACTTTCATCAATCTATGAACTGATGTCACTCAGTGACCATCATGTGACCCATGTGACTTCATCTCAGTCAAAGGGAGATAATCACCTTTTTGCATTTCTACAAGTTATTTCTTTATAAGAAAACATTCAGTATTCATTGATCAAGCAGCCAGAGCTACTGTCAGGTGAAATTTATAAAATCTTTCTCTTAAAATAATTTAATCTCAAATTTAATAGCTGATATTGCTCTTTACAGTATTGATGTAAGCTTCCTTCTTCACTTTTTATTTGAGGTAGTGTAGTGTGGTGATAAAGAAATAAATAAAAATAAATAACAAGAGGACCAAAATTTCACTATCTCTACAGATAGATGGATAATAACAATTGCCAGGCAAACAAAGCAATAGTTTGACCAACCAGACAGAAAGCTTTCACAACCAGGATGTAAGAAAAGAAATAGTAACAAGTAGACCAAAATTTCCCCATTTCTAAAACTTGTTCAACCAACAAATCAGAAAACTTTCACAATCAGTATATAAGACCACAAACTAATGAGAAGCAAGCAGTTTTTCAAATCTGATCTAAATATGTATATATAAACAGATGGAAAATCAACCAAAACTACAGTTGATAAATTAATTTTGCCCATTTTCTGATGCTATGATCATTGTAACATACCCAAAGACAAAATACAACACTTATATTATTGACTGATAATCTTACATGGCTAAATCCTTCATTGCAACATTGAAAACAAACATATCATCCTTCAGCATGTGGTTAAGCAGTGGATACTACATTTTGATACTTGCATACATATATATATATATATATATATATAAGCATAACTACATATATATATAATTATATTCTTTCTCCAATTCTCTTGTGTATGCATCCACAAAAATAACCCCCATAGTGTTGTGGAGTGTAGTATTTTAATGTCGGTGAACCGCAATAAATAAAAGAAAGACTTGATTAGAAAATTAATGGCTAATGTTTATTGACACATGTGGGTACAAAGATGCAGAGGTATAGAGAATAGGCAGCCTCAAGTCAGCATGACATTGAGTAAGCATGGCCGAATATCCAATTTGTTGGGACGGCTTCTAAACATGTCTGAACTCAATGGTTGGAAAGTAAGAAGAGGCCAGTCATGTCCTTTCTAGAAGTGGCGTCATAAAATTCACCATTTTAGTTTCCTTTTTGCATTACAGGAAAATGAAATTCTTTATTTTTTTCATTATTATTTTACTTATTAGTTTATTTTCAATCTTCCACAGTCAAATATCTTGATTATGTCATCATTTTCTCTTCAAGTCACATGTGCTGTCCATTTTAGATGTTGCTGCTGTTGGAAATCCTAAGTGATATGGTTTCTTTTATCTTGTACAGTTTTGTCAAAGAATCATACAAGATTCTAATTCATACTTTGTCTACTTCTATATTGACAAATACAGAAGTGTTGGGAGTTCCAAACAAATAAAAAAATGAATTGTATGGAAAAATGAAACTTTCTTTTTTTTTTAGTATTTCATCCCAAGCAAGGCAGGAGTGCCACTAGTACGCCAGGGGTCACAGAGAGTGAGAGCAAGAATAAAGATGGGTATTTGAGGAAAAGGATAAAGAGAAGGACGGAGATCAGGATCAAGGCATGGGAAGATGTCGATTGACATTACATTTGAGTATTTAAAGATTATAGCTATTAAAGAAGCAAGTAAGAGGAAGGGAGTTCCACTGTCGGAAAGTGCGAGCTAAAAAGCTGTTGGAGTAGAAGAGACGGTTACATAAGCATTTCATCCCAAGCAAAGCGGGAGTGCCACTAGCATGCCAGGGGTTACAGAGAGTGTGAGCATGAGTAAGGATGGGTGTTTAAGGAAAGAATATAGAGAAGGACGGAGATCAGGATCAGGGCATCAGAAAATGTCGATTGACATTACATTTAAATATTTGAAGATTATAGCTATCAGGGAAACAAGTAAGAGAAAGGGGCTTCCACTGTCAGGAAGTGAGAGAGAAGAAGCTGTTGGAGTAGAAGAGGTGGTTACATTTAACTATTTCGACAGTGAAAGTGTGGGACCTAGATGCCAACCTAGTAGCACACTTAAATAATTCATGCAGTTGGGGTACCAGTTAAAGTAGCTCGTCAGAGCAGTTGCCATGAAAATATTTGTAGAAAAGACAGAGGGAAGACACATCACATCTGTGAGAAAGTGACTGTAGATGAGATGCCAGATCAGGACCTATCATATTGCATATCCATTTCTGGATTTTGTTGAAGACCTCAAGATGATCAGTGGCAGAACTAGACCATATATGACAACAGTATTCAATGCAAGAGTGAATGGTTGATTTGTAGATTTGAAGGATGGATTTGAATTTAACAAGGACAAAATTTTGTATACTTGGAATCACAAAATATTTGTGCATACAAAAAGTGAATAATGTTCATAGGGAAATAGTGGAACACGCCTATTCTATAGTTAATTGACTCTCCCATCTATAATAAGTAGGAGTAGTTAAGAGTAACGAGTCAGTCGCTCAGTGGGTGGGTCAGTCAGTCAATGTCAGACGACTGTTAGTCAGATACTAAAAGTATCAGCGACCACAACTAGATTACTGCATCATACCTATTATATGAAGTTCCTAACATTTTGTACGTCGAACCTGTTTTAGGACCGACTTAGTACAAATACAAGCCTCCACTGTGAAATCACTCCATAACAGTGAGACAGGTCAAAAAGTGATT